AGCCAGTCGAATCGATTGTGAAACTAGCAATCGCTCCTATAAGATGACTCGTGTCAGTACATAAATGCAGTTTGGGGCTCTCGGAAAACACCCATACTCCGCCACAGCTGCAAAAGATCTTGAGAGTCAGTTACGAGTGATTCCCCCCGTCGACTTTTCTTAACAAGCAAGAAGGATTCACTTAATTGTCAATCAGCGCTTTCACTAGGGACAGTGATAATTTCTGATGAGGCAAAAGAGCTACCAATCATTTCAAAATATCAATATCATGAGACTTATCGGTCCCTTTTCGACCTGAACGTCCTAACGTCGCTGACGGTTACGAATTATGCGCCGCTCTTTTCTCTCCCCTGGAGAAAAGACAAAGTTGCGCAGCACGAATCACGCCTTGTTTATGTTTCTGATTTGGCCTAGAGCAATACCAACAGGTTTACTGCAGAAATCGAAGGTAGTGAGCGCCCGCCCCAATGTCAACATTGTGTGTCATACATCGTAAGTTTCAGAATTACAGCCCTTTGATTGACGTTTAGTTCGCTAAAACTGGCATTAAGAGCCAGCAGTGGTTAGGTTGATGTCTATTATCAGCCAGTGCTCACATTTAGGCAAAAACGCTTCGACACGCTTGCCAGATCCAAGTACCATAGACAAAATCTCGACGGGGGCATAAAAAAAACGCTGCTGAGAGTAGAGGCACAGCTAGGCACAAGCAAAACCTTGGAAGTGTGGATACCTACAAGATCGAGTCACTCTTAAAGCAGCTTTCAAGCGCCGGTTTGACCTACGCACACATAATCTTAGAGCTAGAGTGGCCCGTGAAGCATGATAGGCTTCATTAAGTCCACATTCTTACAGATGCTAAAAGTGTATATCAAAGCGTTTCTGTCGACGGTATTATGCTTTTAGTAAGGGAGGATTTCTGTTTATATGATACCGATACGCTGGGAGTTTAGTAGGGTAAATAAAATGATCATAACACCTGCAAACCGATTCATGCTTGTTCGTATGTCTCAGGTATGTAGACATTTCTTCTGTATATCCGGTGTTTCAGCACAGTATTGCGCACTTCGCTTAATGACGCTCTTTTAGGTAAACCGTCAATTTTAGATCGGATGGTGACCTTTATAATATCAGTAAGTCTTATGGAATCGCAACCTTTTTCGTACCAAGACTGGAATAAATTGGTATGGGTGGAAAGGAGCATGGGCATAATCTAACCATAGTTAAAGAATGAAGTGAAGTCAATGGAGGTGGGGGTACTGCATGTTTGGCGTATAACTATCACCGCGGTCGCTTTGTACAAGTGTATCAAGGATTGTATCCACCTCAAGATTAACGCACTTTGTACGAAGATCGATTATAAATGACACACATAGGGCATGTCTAACGTGGTACCCAGCACTCTGAGCAAAGTTCGCCAGATAGTTTGCTGTGATCGAGCGATATTGAACCGAGACAATTGTCACAGGTGAAATTTTCGAGTGAAACAATTTGTCGGGAAACAGATTGACTACAACAGGGTTATCGTGCTTTGCACGGAGAACTGGTCGAATGGAAGAGATACACAACGCTCAGACGTTGGGTTTGCAATATACACCCAGAAGCGTAACCAAGAATCTTTGTTGTAACAAGTTATGAGCTTGCTTCGCATTTACATAGTGCCAACTTTAAATCATTCCCTTTGTCGTGTCTGCACCTCCAAGCATACTTGCAGCGGAAGTGTCCTTCCGGGTACTTCACCAAATTGCTTAGAGGTCCTCCAAAAAAGACGCGGCTCTCGCGACCAAAGCGCTGGAAGCAATACTCGGTGAGGATATCACGGTTTTCACCAATTTAACGGTCGCTGTGACTCTCTGGGTTATGGCTTTATACCTTAGCCGTAGGCTTACGATCAATCCGCTTACCCAAATGAAGTCGCTTACTGCGTTTCTCCTCCACTCTGCACAAGGTGCAAAATCAGGTATTTTCCCGCGGCGGGAAGTGTTGCAGCACCTACCATGGAACATACGCCAATGCTAGGCCATTATTATTGCGCTGGAGGCCAACTTGCTCGTCTGTTAGTGCAATAGTCATGCTGACTCATACAAAAAATCGTCACACCGTGACTATGGCCTAAAAGTGCCAGATGATGTTTCCCACGCTGGGGGAGAGGACTTGCACGCCTATGCATGCGACCCTTCCGCTCACAGTGCGAGAAGCTGAGCACACGAAGGTCGCTCTGTGAGCTCTCACTTCTCAGAGAAACCGCCGGAATTACAGAAGTAGCGGTTTATTAAACCCGTACTCTCCATGAATATTGTATATTGGGGACCGAAAGTCATCGAGACTGCCGAAGTTTAAACCCAAGTCGTACTCATAGGGCCGACCCATCGTTTAGCTTTCAAGTCAGTATTAGTGAAGTAGACAGCTTTGACTCATGCTTGAGTTTATGAAGCACGACTAAGATGTTGAGAATCACATCACCTACAGCCCCTGCTACTTGAAGCCAGGCTTATTGCCATGAGCTAGCGGCTACAAGTACCAACCAAGTATCAAATTCACGAGAAGGTCGGTTCCCTCTCAGAAACGCGCTACGACAAATGACCCTGTCTCTTCTCTAATAGAGAAAATGACAGAAGGCTAACTGGTCCAGCGCAGCAACGACAGTTGCTGCGTGAGCAGGGCAATCTTGCCGGAGTCGAAACTCAACCTTTTATTTCGTTTCATTACACTCGATACCGGCATAGGCGCTGATAAACCTGTTGGTCCACCAAACGTTCTACGTGAAAGCGGGTAACCTAATTATCATCAAGCAGTGCCAGCAGGTGTCGATCTGGATTTCGTGAGCTTTTATGGCGAAACGTTGAAATCTCCAAAAGTCTCTTTGTGCATGTAAAGCAAGAATAATCTCCAGACGGATGCGCTGGCTAAATGACATTGGGGATTGAAACACCTTCAGCGGATCACAACCGAGACAGCTCAGCTACTGAAAATCATTGAGACGCTGCTCTGTCTGCAGCGGCGTGCTCCACATCCAACTGATACGTAAGATCAGAGCGTAATATGGCCCATGAAGCCGAAGTAGACATATGAAATGGTTGCATTCGCCTAGAATGAAGAGTAGAACGTAATCTCCTTTATACTACCAACGTGCTGGTTCGCGGCAGCGTGATCGCACATTTGTTTCATAGACAGCAGACAGACGAGTAGGTTAACTGGAATCAGTGCAACCCCTTCAGCTTGTTTAGATGGGATTTGCCTAACTTCTTTGATATAAAGCAGCCTGACCCTCAGCGATAGCGCCGCATTTTCAGCGCATGATGCTCAATCGTCAAGGAAAAGTCATGACTTTGCCACAAAATTAGGCCGGGATGATCTCAGCAAGATGCATTGGATCGATGAACACAATGGGCTATGTTGGCAAAAAAATGTCGACATGGAGCTTGGCTATATTCTTTTTTGTGACGGTGTTACTAATAGCAGTAAACTGATCCATCTCGCTCTAACGATCACAATTCCGGTTTAAATAAACGCATGTCGTGGGATCCGAAACATTGTTCATAACGATGAACTGACAACACTCTGCTGAATCCGACAGGCTGGCCCAATGACGCCAGCGCATGCGGCGAATATTTAAGGTAGTGACTCGCTTCACACGTAAGATCATGTATGCTTACCCACTTTTGACCGTATATTGTGTCGCGTACAGTATTTTGTACTTGAGGTCCTCAACATAAGGCCAAACTACATGCTGCGTGTAAAACGAGTCAGTTTGCAATATGAAATTGCAGTGCAGACGTACGACTGCTTCAAAAGCACGGCATCTACGCTTCCAATACCCCCTCCCCGACGCTATCAGCAAATCAACACATATTGCTCATCAATTTGCAATGTAAAAGCGGATATACCGCCATTTTTGCGGACTTTCGATAAACTAGCTCGCGATCAATGAAACCCAGCTTTGAAAAATACAGCGCTCTATAAGAGGATTGGGATCATAGGTATGTTCTCCAGGGCTGTAACTATCATCTAATAATACAGTCTCGGAGATCAGAGATCCAGATTTGTAAACTCGTGCGAATACTTTATATATTCTGGTGCGTCGTGCAGCTATATGCAATTCACAGCCATTTAAACAGTATCGAAATTGCAGAAGCGTAGTGTTTACAAAATAAGGATATCACGTCTGTTTCTGTCATTTAACAGCTAACACGGTGATTGAGGCTCTTTTAAGCCTAAATAATCAAAGACGTTCATGACGTGAAACTCTATTTGGTATTAAACCTGGGTGCGAGAAATGATCTCATCCTAGGCATGGCCAAACTGGCTGGAATGCTACGATCTCTGAATTGACATATATTACGAAAACAATTATATTCGAGCATCTTACTATAGTGGGGCTTAAGTAGATCATGAATCATCATGTGCTTGTAAGCAGAAGCGTTTGGTGCTTGCACTAAGCTGCGACAACTTTGGTTTCGAATTACTGGTCCTTGTCCATACCTTGAAGGCCATAGGTGGCAGTAAGCCACCGTCTTCAAATTATTTTTCTGTATCGACGAGAGTTAGCGACTGTATGCCGCAATCTTCAAGGTTTATTACTTTGGTTTTAAATATATGTTCTGTGCGTTTTGGTCCCTCCCTAGATATGCGGCTTGAAAACGGCGACGGTTTGTTGCGCTTTGTCCCTCTCGAGGCGGCTGAATGCTGACATCTCTAGGGCAAATCCCGGTGACATCAGGCAACTGAGTGTTGCAATTAGACAAGTCGGGGCCTCCTGCCACTATGAATAGTCTATATTTGACGGCTGAATCAGCAAGACCTAATGACGTTCCAACAATATTGGGATTTTATCAGTGATATATCCCGACTCAATTTTATGAAGCCATCTCCGCACCTCAACGCCAATAAAAATATTTTATTAAGCTTGTAAGATTATTTATGGTGGATGTATGAAAGGAAGTATAGAATGGTCACTAAGTTGGTATGAATAGCGCCACGATAGGGGCCGAGAACCTCTTTCGCCAACGGATAAATCTGACAGTTGGAACAAAACTGAAAAGTACTCAGTGTCAGGAGCAGATAACACCAAAGATTCAGAAGTATGCTTTAACGCTATATAAGAATCACGCGGTGTTATTATAAGCTAATGCTGCTTCAAATTGGAATGTTTGGTATGATAACGATGCGGTTCTTGTTTCCAAATATATGAAACGCGCCGATGGAACCTAGAAATGCAGTTATGTGACGTCATCAAAGCTTAGCTTGGGGAAGCGGCGAAGTCATGCAGCACGATACTTTTTATTAGATATGGGGACTGGTTTCTACCAGGTTGATACATGGTCAGTACCATTAACCATATCGGCAGTCCATTGGGTACGAGCGCTAGTAATTCTAGCATGATCTGGAGAAGGGGGTCCGCTTCGGTGTTGACGTCACGCTTTGAACTTTGAAAAGTGAACCATAAGTTGACGCATCAACCAAATGTGTTCCTGGTGAAAAAGATCGCGAAAGCCTACAGCTGCAAAGGCAACCTTCATCACTAAATGTTCTAATTTAACTTTACTCCCGGCGCTGTAATCAGATGACTCACTGCATCACTGCTCAGGAGTTTTGGCCTGTAGATTTGGAAAAATTTCATCATGTGTGTCCCGCATACGATTCAGCGCGTCAAGAAGCTTTCTTAATGCTAGGTAGGCTAAAATCATAGTCACTACGTGATATTAGTGTTATCGACCTCATCAAATTCGATGCAGATCGTGTAGCGTTTGGAGTAGGCGAAGATGGTAAGTCAAACTTTGCTGTGATTTTCGGCCCACTCTCTCAGAGTTTTCACCAATAAGATCTTTATTAGGTGACTCACTTTCTTGCAGCCCCACAAGCCATGTTCATAGACAATAGTTTCTAGAGAACCTTCTTGTGTGATTCGGTGCAGAACTTTCAAGAAAAAACGCTTCGTGGTCCTACTGGTGTTAAGGCTTTAGGGAGGGGGTGTAACAAGAAACGTACCTCTGACAATGTTGTTAGTCCTAAATTGTGGGTACTGAGAAAATAGGGTCTTCAATCACTAAAAATTATGCTCAATATATGTGGAGAAGCCGTGAGGTTACTTAACAAGAAGTCGTTTCATTCCATTAAATTGGCGATCCACTCGTCACACTAACTTTATTCCATTAAAGAACCGTACAGCTCGCGTGTCGTCAGTCATACGACGGTGGTTGTTAGCGACAGATCGTTCATCGGGGTTGCGATAATTCAGGCACAGATAGCTTTTGACTATTTGAGTCTGCATAAATAAACGCACAGCGATTAGTTTAGAGCCACTCCCTCAAGTACCAAGTACTTAGTACTGCTCGAGTCAACGAGTGAAGTATGTTTTGGATTCAATTTTTTTCCAAATTGAATGAGATGATCACTCGTTTTATCATCTAAGTAATGAAAATCTTAGCAGTTTAATTCATAAGGCCAAACCTCTCCAAGGTAAACCAATTACTTACAAGCAACATACAGTATTCCAACTTTTTTTTGTTGTCATGATACGGCTATTGGGAAGGAAAAACAGGATCCTATCATCGCATCTGTAAGTAGCCAAATGCATAGGGCTAGTAAATTTATTCAGTTAGATTCTTATGTGTAGCAGCCCGTTATAAAGCGCTCATTTATGATTCTATGCGGGCTAATCGTCGAAGAAAGTCAAGATGCAGTCAGTGCGGCACATATATATATGCGATGTACCTTGCGATCTGACTTCGTGACTAAAGGTTGGCGATAGTGAAAGCTGCGAGACATTGATAATCAGCTTATCTGGTCCAATAGATAGTTGGCGAAATTAAGTTCAGTATTCACGGAGACTCGCGCCCATCTTCGATTGCAGCAATATGTCGTTGCGCTCACAAAAAAGTAATTTAAGCTCACTTTTACAATTTTTTTTACTCTGTAAGTGCGACATCAACTTCAAGGAGAATTTTTTATTCAGCTGAAAATTTAATAAAAGATCAGATTAAAAGGTAATAAGCCTTAAATGCTACTTTGAAATAAATGTTGCCAATACTTTGATTTTTCAAGCAGATTGATGTATTGGTTATCTATACAAAATAGAAACCAATGTGGCTTCTCCTTACTCCTTCTTGTAGTAATTGGCTTGTACGAACGGCATCTTAGTAATCACCGCCTGCTGTGCTTTCTTGCGCGCTTTAACCTGCAATTCCGTACCCAGTTTGCTAACCGCTTTGTCAACATACGCCATGCCAATCGCTTTCTTCAGTGTCGGACTAAACGTTCCGCTAGTCACGTGTCCCACAACATTGTCATGATCATCAAAGAGTTCAGCGCCTTCGCGTGCTGCTGCTCCTTCTACTACAAATCCAATGCGTTTCTTTCTTGCTGTCTTATTCTTCAGTTGATCCATAATGATGCTATGGCCAGGAAATCCACCTTCCTCTCGACGTCGTTTACTAATCGTCCACGCGAGTGTTGCCTCAATCGGTGTAATTTGATCGGTAATATCATGACCGTGAAGACACAATCCAGCCTCAAGCCGTAAACTGTCTCGAGCTCCAAGTCCCGCCTCCAGGACACGCTCATCCGCAATCAGTGCGCGAGCAAATGTCTCTGCGTCCTGACTCTTAACCGAGATTTCAAATCCATCTTCACCCGTGTAGCCACATCGCGTTAAAATGACGTCCAACTGCTTACCATTTGATAGTTTCACCGGTGTATATACTCCATGCATGAATTCCAGATCCTGAAGGTTCACATTGGCATTTAGCGTCTGTACCACATCCACAGCACCAGGACCTTGTAAAGCTATAAGTGCACGATCGTCAATTCGTTCGATAGCTGCTTCGCCTTTAAAATCGTTGAGAAGTTTATGCATGTGAATCAGATCAATGTCTTGGTTTCCGGCATTTACGACAACGTAGAGATGGTCATCATAGCGCGAGATCACACAATCATCGATGATACCACCCTGATCGTTTGTTATAAGACTGAGCTTCGCTTCTCCAATCTTTAATGCCTCCAAGTCGCCAACTACGACAGTTTCGAGAAATCGCACACGGTCTTTGCCTGTGATGCGCAGTTGACCCATGTGCGAGACATCAAAGAGCGACGCTTTGCCATGTTCACGCGTGTGCAGATGCGACTGTAATACACCTGCTTTGTATTGCACAGGCATCGAGTAGCCTGCAAATGGCACCATCTTTCCACCAAGTGATACATGGAAATCATACAGAGGCGTTTTCTTCAACGCAGCGGAAGAGAAGCGACGGATGGTGGTGGGACGCATAGTGGGCGAAAACTTGAATGTGGAGTGTCGAATCTAAACAATGTGGATTGGATGCCAAGTTAAGAATACACAAGAAGACTATTACTATCCTCTTAAAACGGATAAATACACGACAGTAACACCGAAATGTAGAAAATTAAAATATGCAGGTATTAATCTCTGTGAACTTTTAAGACGCTGAAATCTGTAGCATGTACAAGGTGAGCTCAACACACTTTTAGAGTTGGAGTAAAAGAAGGCGTAGCGGTCATTGCAATGACCACTCGACTGGAAACTTCCAAAGCTAAACGATCGGGATATTTGTGCAGATTTATTCAAACGTTTTCTATCAATTATACTGAAACTTATTTCCTGAAATATTGTTTTGGAGCAGCTGCTACAATTTTTTGAACCTTCAGTTGTTCGCTTGACAGCATTTGAAGAAAACACATTTGAATGAGAAGATCCCATGCAATGAGTTGGCAGGACGCGGCGTCTCATTATTCATTTCTGCCACACGACTTGCAAACCAGTAAACGAAATGAACTTCCGATGAATTGTTGGAGCAACAATCATGCACGCAGATCAGATCATAGCTCTGGGAGATAGTAAATTTGCCCTTATCAAGGGTACCACGGCGGTTGAAGATGCAATGATGATTTTCACGTCGGATAGTAAAAAGTAAGCTTCGTGCGGCTTGCTGGTTATTTAGCCCATACATCTATCAGAGGCGATGTCTCGACCCTGTTCATCTGAGCTTGTCACATTCTACGTGGTTGACACGTGCATTGATTGCAAGAGTTCGAATGGTTGCCTGCAGCGGGTCACTCATTGCGCGCGTTTGAACACATTTACGACGGTAGGATTGCCAGCCAGATCAAGAATTCTAATAATCTTAATACCCCGCTGAAGATTGTTGTATGCCGATGGAATGATTATAGGTTACATCTCGTTGAGATTGTTGATTCTATTGCGGCACGTTGCACCTTTGTCGCAACGCATTGCTTCTTAAGACCTCTTTCTTTTAGGTTTCTTCGAGTTCAATGCCTGTCGTGATTAGATGATCAACCACACCGAGCTGCCGAGCAGCGTGTAAGCACCCGACGGTGTTAAGCCACTGTTTGTCGAACCAAGAGCTCGTCTTGTCAATCATTGAATTGATCTTTCTCGGTGATGTTTACATTTTGATGTGATTTGTGAGACAGTCTTGGTAGCTCACGTGACAACGTTGCAGCTTTGAAGCTGATCTTGCAATTTTAACCGTATTATCCTCGCTTCATCGCGTTGTACTACCTCTAAGACTTACCATGCTCCAGGAATACGGCTTCCAATTCATCATGGAGTCTTTCACAAAGTGCAATCACTACGTCGGGCCCTCAGATATTTAGTTTTGAGCTGATGTGTATGTCGAATTTAAAGAATGGCTCGATTTAATAGCTCCTCCATTTTCTCCAAATGCTAGATCATAATTCGCATAAATTTTAAGTTTTCGAACCTTATCAATTTGATTTGTTTGTTTTCGTACGCTTGGTTGTTTTGCTGCGGTAGACTTACTAAGTAGCACGTTTGACAAGTTCTACCAGCTTCTTGAAGAAATCTAAGCTATTTCAAATACTATGTAAGAATCGTTTCGTACCCTTGTATGTTTTCCTGGATCAAAGACCTTCACAAGTTTGATGGTGTGACATCGTCGCGATCCTTACGATCTCCAAACAGCCTTGATAATTTAACATACATTGCCATCAATCCACAGGTATTCAGTTCAATCAATCTAAATTGATTTTTACCCATAGTAGTGACTTTATACGCTCTAACCTGTCGACTCAAGCAATGTCTGATTGTTGAAACTAGCAATCTATTTTAGCGATCGATTATTAAATCTCACGAGGTTGAAATCGATGCATGCAAAGGCGTTGCTTTGTACGGTCTGCAAAATCACCTCAATATATTGACAGACAGGGTTGTCAAGTCACATGTAACTGCTCTCATCGATTTATTCTTTTCGCCATCATACCTGATTCTCCTTTGTAGCTACTAAGTAAATCAAATCTTTCTACCATTAGTGATTTTTAAGAACTCAATGGGTCTAAGTTAATTCTATTGACTTTTTAGGAGTTGTAGTAATTCTATTCGTGATATCATTGATCGGCGATGAACCTCTCGCTTGGTCTTAGCTTGTCGAACCCAAGGCCAAGCAATGACTTAAGATTTGGCCCGTTTAAGGTCATTTCAATCGAGCAATGAAACGTACTACCTCTCATAATATTTGAACGAGGTTTTACTTCCCTTCCGATGGTATCGTGTGAGTGCTGGTAGCGCTTCTGTTGCGCCCTGATTGCACTCTTTGTTAACGAATATTGTTCAAGCAAGACGCTTGTTGTAGTCTATGACGTTTTTTATTTATCACGATAGAGACATTGCTCACTTAGTTAATCAAGAGAATTGAGCAAAAAGACTTCGAACAATATAATTCCTTCAAACGCACAATACTAGCATCATACAAGGCTATCGGAGTGAAGTTTCACCACATAGTTCTCTCATTGTAGAGATCGATATCTATAAACAGCAATTGACAGCATAATTGAGCACAACGAGTGGTATAATACCAGGCAAGAAAACCTCTTGGGTCCAGATTTTTGAGAGCTGATACGTCGCTTCCCCATCCGTCAGCGTCGTCAAATGCTGCTGAAGATGCATCATGTATCCAGCCCTTTGACTCTTGTCGCTCTCTGCGAATACAGATTTGACGAGTCACCCTTTCCAGAAGTATAAATTGGCCCCTTGATATCAGTAACATTCGCGGTCAAGCCCATTTTCTTCAAGCTTCGCTCTTCCATTGTAGCTTTCAGATTGGAAGACAAAGATGCTGACACCTGTCATATCGTTCCACAAGAATCTCATTCAGAACCAATTTTGTTGCTCTGCTTGTAAATAGTATTAGCGCTAATGACCTCATTGCTCGATGTATCTTCTTGCTGCAGGATCTCCACCGCGACGTTCACAGGGCCATTTTCTTTAACCTCTTCCGCTTCTTCTCCGTCTTCAATCGTTCTGCCAGCAGCTTTTCCTAGCACCCAAAAAGTTTAGGCAATAGTGTCACTCACACATGACATCTTCATCCGTCAGCCACCCGCCACCTTCTTTGCCGGAGAGATGCACCAGTGTTGTAGTGCATAAAAATATCTCATGACTTTATGTTCTGTCAATTTTGACCTCGAGCGCGAATTTCGCCTCACCAGCAATCGCAAGTAAAATGTCGTCATTTTTCAAATCCTGGAATCAAGGAAGTATTCATCAATGATACTTTCTCGTCAAAAATTTGGCACGATACGGAAAATAATCAACTTTGTGCCGTAGATATTATTTCTTATGGCGCTCTAAGTCATTATGATAAAAATGTGGTTCGGGATCTGATAGGCTCAAGGCCTACCGATATCGGGATCTCAATATAGTTGATTCCCAGAGCTCAATCTTTATGACCTAATATATGCCAAACGATCTTTAACCTACTGTGTTGAATCAAATTCATGTCAAACCAAGTTCGGTTATTATCACAATGGGGGACACTGATTAAATCGGTGAGTAAAAGCAAGGCCTTGGGAGCTGATGTCCACTTTTTCGATTCGAACTAGTGATACAAAACTACATCGCAGGTATCGTAGAGCTCAACCTGATCTTTTTCTTGGACTGGACGTCGCTCGTCATCGCCTTAGCTGTACAGGCGAAGTAAGCTCTAGATATAGCCGTCATAGAATAAGTGATCGGAATAAGAGCAAAATGTGTATCTTCACTGTCTTTTATGACGCGATATAATGCCTCTCCCCCTGCTTAAAATGCAACATCGTTGCTGCCAGGGACATACTGTGGAGCTGAAGAACTTGTAGTACTAAGACTAAGTCTTCCTGTAACATCAGCAATCCTACCTTTGTTATGTTTGCTCATCGATGAATCCGAAACAATCAATATTTCTAATCTGATGAAAGCTTAATAATGGCAGCGAGGGCGGGACGATGATTAAAAATGAGATGTGGGGAGATCACATTATGTTGAGCCCTTATTTACTGAATTTATAGTATTCGCGAGACTCGAACTCGCATGGGAAACACTTGTTTGCCGTCCCACTGCCAAAACTGACTCGTAGTTGTCTTGTTTGGTAATAGTTTCAACAATCGATGTAACTGATGCACTTGATATTGGTGTGAGCGCAACGATCCATGTAACAATTTATTGATATTCGGCTGGGAAGTACAATGAGTAGGATCTTTCACGGCGATTGCTCAATTTATTGTAATCCTTACTCAAATTGGTATAAAGTAGATAGGATAGAACGCGGAATTTCCTGTAGATGTTTTGGAAACTTGGTTGTGATTACGAAAAATCTGTATTGCTTTTGTTTAATCGTATATAGATCAGATGATTATTGTGAATTTTCCAGACTTCGGTGCGTTAGTGCCAAAAACTCCAAGTTGCTATCTATGGAAGGTATCCTGTCACAGTTTTCAAAGACTACCTCTGTATGCTCAATTTCCGCATATAGTCACGCAAATCATTCTTCTCAAGAATGTACGAATCTGCTCGATACTGAATAACCTTCGCTGACTACAATCATTGATAAACAAGCTAAGGTCTAGGCTTATTATCGTAGACAACTGCAAATGCTAAGCTACTTTTAGTAGAACTCTTCTCACTTTGAATTTATTCTGCCTATTTAACACCATTTAGACTGCGTGCATTCGTATCACAGCTACTTTGCCACTTGCAAATTGATTCATTTGAATACTGAGAACGTATTTATCTTTGTAGGTAAGTCAAACCTGAATTTGTCGTGGTTGGCAATTTCAGAACCTAGACGTATATTCCTACAAGGACAAAGTCAGCCTGATCGATATTGAAAACTATTTTAGAGCTTTTTTGGGCTAAACCAATACAATGGCAAGATTTGTTAATACCCGATCTAACAGCACATGGAAATACAGCTTCCCTAGTAGTACTTCGCAATGTTAAAAAACATATACGTGCGCTGTTCGATCGATCTGGATGTATGATTGTAGGCACAACATTGAAGCATCTCATTACCTTTGTGAATGCTGAAACCACATCCACTAAATTACTTGGTGAACTTTAGTTATACAGAAGCATAGACAGCGCAAAATATTTTTTATTTATTCATCGAGTGAGAACACATGATGTTTAACTAACGGGGAAGAGCAGTAATGAGTCGGCTCAGCTCGATTTAGCGCTTACTTCAGCGACACGTTTGTGGTAAAAAACAACTCACAAACGGTCATTATTCCTCAGACAGTACCAGTTCACACATGTCCTGCCTATTCACCAGTAAGATGAAAGCAGTATAATGATACGAACATTCAACGTCTGCAATTGTTTTAAGTGCTTAGCTCTCAATTATCATTCCTCGATTTATCTTACATGTTCTTGATGATTATGAGTAGTCATTACGCCGGCAGTTTTTTTTCCTTACCGTAATTTACCGCCACGAACATTCCTGGAACCTTCTTTCAGACCAGCTGCCATTTTCACGACGCAACCTTTGCAAAGTAGCTGTAGCTAAGGAAAATGGTACTTAATTTGAAATGTCTCCCTCTGGTCATGCAGTGTGAGAAGAGGTTCTTCAGAAGTAGCTTATCGGTGCTATAGTCATTGATGATGACAATTTCAGGTTTGTTAGAGCTCATTGGTGTATGACGTACCTGATCGACACTTGGAGGTGAGTTAGGATCAGCGAAAGTGATAAATCCATCAAGCTTATCGCGTAGATACTCATAAAGCTCTTGATGAGGATTACGAGCAATGATTGTTAAATGGGCAAAGACGTGTGGTGAATGTTTAAGAATGAACATACAGAGATTGTTCTTACCTATTGTCGATTCCAACATCAGCTGTTTGCTGTGTGTTATCGATACCAACATCAGATGTTTGAGGTCTCGCTTGAATAATTCTATCAGTTTGGTTAACACGATCAGTATTGTTTGAGCTGTTTACCATCTGCACACCGGTATCAACTCCAACATCGATCATCGCAGGTCGAACATTTGGAGGTGAGACTTAAGGGTTTGTTTGGGAGTATCCATCAATCATTGTTTTTTAATGACTCAGCAGACTCGGTTGAGTCGGTCTGAGTTGATTCGGTTGATTTCTTAGGGACTGCAGCAATCCCATTCGTGATATCACTTGCCCACGAAGCACCTTCGTACATCCCTCGCTTGGCTTTAGCTTGTCGAACGCGGCGCAGAACTTGTTCAAGAAGCTCCTGCCGTTTTTGCTCTCTTTGAGCGAGCGATGTAAAATTTGGAAACATTGTGTCTATATCAAACGATCACAAAAACTGAAATGAGTAGCCTTAAATACTCTTACCAGTAGCTCGGCATAACTGAGTCCTGACGAAAGGGTAGATACGATTGACAGATACGATTTCGCTAATTGAGAAGATTTAGATAACGATCCTTGATGCAATGGAATGGAGCTCCAAAATTGCTTCCAAGTCATGGTGATACTTACGATTTACTACTGTTCTGCGGAAATTCGCGGCTGCATCAAGATACAGCAACTCATTCTTGATTCGACTCACCTCCTGAATAACCCAAAGCTTCAGTAAAATCTTAACAAGCTCACGTTCTTTATCTACACAGCTTGGGCACATTACTATCTAACTGCTATGTTTTAAGTCAGACGGTACCCAAAAATCTCAGAAAAAATAATACTCGAGATTATATACTTGAGTCAAAAGCTTACTGAGGATTTCTCTATCAAATTTATTTACAAGCTCATTTTTTGTGGCGCGGGGTGAAACTATGTTAGCTTTTTCTTGAACCCCAATATGCCTTTTCAAGCGTTGATCTCCTGTTTTTGTTAATCTGTCGCAGATTATCTTTTGGCTCCCAGGAGTCAGGTTCATCGCCAACCCATCTCACCACATAATTGTACTTTCCAGAGCGTATCGTTTTGTGACCCAGGATCTTCTTCGCCTCAAGAATATCGCCTCGATTAATAGTAGCATGTGTAGTCGCTGTTTTAACCATTTTAAGATCGTTTGGCGCCTTGTAGAGGTATGCCCATTTCTTGAACGGATTTGGACTCGGTAGCCATCAATTCCAACGGTTTTATAGACTGCTTTAAGCAGCTTCTTTATCAAATGCCTGCTTCTTGAGACGGTATAATACGCTTGATCCGACGTCAAACTCCTTCTCAATTTTTTTGGCTTCCACCTGATCATGACTCAGATCTGCATCCATTACTTTTCCTTTTGCCTCATATGGGGTCATACAAATCGAACGATGAAACTTGGTATTGTAGTTTTCAATAACATCAGTGATGAGCTTTTGCGTAATTCTCTTGGAAGACATTTTAGTTAGTCTCTGCTTTAAGGTCCTGTTGAAGCGTTCAATTTTACCCATGCTTCCGTGATCACCGGGTTCGTTGTTTTAGTGCTCAATTTCCTTAGTTTGGAGAAATTCTTGTGCCTGTGAATTCATGAACTCGCTTCCATTATCGCTTGTTAGGATATCAACATTGTGGAGACGAACGAACGCTTTTAGCGCTGCTAACACAGTTGCTGCTGTCTTGTTCGATAAAACCTTCGCAAAGCCTAGCCTCGAGTTGATATTGATAGCAGTCAAAATTGGTCGCTTTACTCAAGACGCAAGATCAATTTGCCAAGCGTTGGGGTTATGCGAAGCGATTTTGAAGCCATTGAATCTCTTCTTTTGCTCTTGATATCGTTGAATATCAGTCTGACTCGCATACCAATCCTTTACAATTTTGAAAGTTATCTTAGGATTTAACTCCTTTGCCTTCTCATACAGAGCTTGAGTTCCAGTAAAACCGGTGTTTTTTATATAACAGTAGAGTTTCTTTAATAGCGCGTCCATGATCTATATTTACATATAAAAAATTCCCAGTGGTTACCTGCTTTAATATCAAGTGGTTCAGTCGTGATACCATCATCTAGCACTCGACGTTTGTCATAGCCGTAGTTGATCGCTGTTTTGTTTTGAGTATAGGTGATGATGGACTTGGTTTCTTTCAATACTCTAAACCCCTTGTTTCTACCTTGAAGCGTGATGCGCTCCCGTACAACAGTCTCAAACCCATCGGAATTAAGAACACCATTGTTTCGACCACCTCCCTGCTGAATACCCTTCACTGAAACTTTTACCTTGTAAGACTTGTTGGGTAGATAGCAAATATAGTCTTTATTCGATAGTGAGATCATAGCATCACCTGACCGTTCATCTTTGAACAAACCAGGAGTACGGCGATCAAACTCAGCTATCTCATTGTTGTTGTACTCCTTGAAGTGGGTTCGTAGCTCAGGCTTCATACAGTCTCGAAACGGTTGATCACAGCTGAAAGCGATATAAGCTGAATCAGTGTCCATCTCCTGATACTGAAAGTCAAAGCGATCGAAGTCTATGCAGTCATAGTAAAACTGTAGCATACGTAGCTTAGCAAGCTGATTGATTGCAATCGATAAATGGATTGGGTTCTTGTCATTAAGGCGGCGTTTCTTCATGGTGACTTCTCACGCATCATTAAGCTCTTTCAACCCATGGAAAGTAAACTTCTCGATCTTGTTCTTAATAGCTTTGTCGCTCGACTCGTTCTTTACCTCTTTATGCTTGCTCATGTCCATTCCAGATCGATTAAAAGCACTGTTGCCTACCAGTTTCATCATCGCGGCAATCATAGCCTTAGACTTATCAACATCACCCTCTCGCCTGGTGTTTGATACAGCCTCCACAAATTGAGCAAAAGCTTTATAAGAGCTCGCTTTGATGAAGCTGTAAGTCTTGGTGATCTCCGAACCATGTTCAAGATATCACTTTAATGGCGGCGTATAAATGAGTATCTGCTTACCGAAGTAACTACCAATTAGCTTACGACTTGCGTTAGTCGGTTAAGAGATGATATAAGCATCTTTATCGATAATACCTGCATGTTTCTTAGCACGTGCCTCATCAAGCTGCTTCTTACGTTTCTCATTGTATTCGAACATATGCTTACCAATGATCTTTTCAGCTGGCTCAATCTCAGTGTCTTGAAAATCGGTGTCATCTCGCTATAATAGCCTTTCAAATACCCAGGTGTTTCAATATCACATTCAAGAAAGCCGAATACCTTGTCTACTTTGATGTCATCGATGATACCATCATACGCTTCAACCGTAGTCAATCGACCGCATGGCATCTCATTACCAAGGGCCCATAGCTATAAAGCGTTAGCGTCGTATCGATAAATTTCTTACAGACCTTACCACCGCAAATCTTCGCTTCATTACGCTTAGCGTAGCGATTGAAGATGATAGATGGACCTCCAGCAATGTTGGCCTCGATCTTAAAACAGATATCCTTCTCCTCCAAGTCAATTTAGTAGACCAGTCTATCCGAGTTGAACTCGAAACCCCTTAAGCGACATGTTTTCGAGCGGTGTTGCGCTTAACGCAGCTGACCAAGATATTACCGTCAATGTGACCAACATTATTGTTGATACGATCCGCTGAAGCGGTATCAGCAGTCAGCTGACAGTAGCATAGACCACACAGATAC